CATTAATTATTATATTTAATTTAATTGTATAAAATGTATATTTTATTGGATATTTTCGTTGCATATTTAGTTCATTCCTGATGTATATTTAGTTAGTAAAATGTGCATATTTAGTACATAAACAGTGCATAAATAGTTGATATTACTGGTGCATATTTAGTTAATAAGGATAACATATATAATTTAATTATGATGCATATTTATTTCATACTAAGTACATACCTATTTTATTTGGAATCTAATCATAACAATTTATTTGTGTTATTAGTCAATTTAAATTTAAAATTAATTATATAATAAAAATCATTAATTATTATATTTAATTTAATTGTATAAAATGTATATTTTATTGCATATTTTCGTTGCATATTTAGTTCATTCCTGATGCATATTTAGTTAGTAAAATGTGCATATTTAGTACATAAACAGTGCATACATAGTTGGTATTACTGGTACATATTTAGTTCATAAGGATAACATATATAATTCATTTATGATGTTTATTTAGTTCATACTAAGTGCATAGTACTGATGCATATTTACTTCATACAGAATGCATGCTAAGGGTCAACGGTCAATGGTGAAAGTCAACGCCGGAAGTCAACGGTGAACGTCGGAAGTCAACGATTTTTTGCCGGAAGTCAACGGTCAATACCGGAAGGCAACGGTCAACGCCGAAGTCAGTGGTCAATTGTCAAAATAATATTTAAATAATTAAAATAATAAAATAAAGAAATAAGTAATAAAAATAAAGAATTATTATTTAATTGAAGAGTTAATCTTAGCCACACATGAATTCTCTCTTTGAGAGCGACGATTCTCTCTTTGAGAGCGAAATTTTTTCAGCTTTTTATCTTTGATTTCTTGTTTGTGAGCGAGTAATTCATCCCATCTGTTCATCCTCTGAGTTCGCTCTTCGCTGCTAATCTTTTGCTCTCTTTCTCTCGTCTCGATTGAGGGTTTTTAGGGTTCCAATGGCGGATTTTGATCAGGAACTCTTAGATCGTTTAGATAAAGTATCACTCTCTACTAATGAAGCCAAAATCTTTGATATAGCGCAGGGAGACATCAAACTCAGTAACGAAGAATGCAACAGAAGCCTATTCGGAAAAATAATTGGCGATAGACCAGCAAGTCGGATTGGTATAAAACGCGCAATGTCGCAGATATGGAAGCTAAATCATCCCATGGAGGTCAAGGAACTCTGCCCAAATTATTTTCAATTCATATTCCAGAACCGTGACGATATGAAGAAGGTTGCCAATGGCACAAATTGGAGCTTCGAAAATCAGTACATCATCCTTAAAGAATGGGAAGCAAGTATCAACAGCAAGCATCCAGAGTTTCAGGAGCTCAATCTATGGGTACAGGTCCAAAACATTCCTCTAAACTGGATCAGTACCGAAGTGGGATTAAAGATAGGACAGGCCTTCAATAAAGTTAAGAATGTGGTTATTGCAACTACCGGGAATCATGGGGGTAAGATTCTCAAGCTTCTTGTCACTTTGAATGTGAATGAGCCTCTTCCCAGAATGGCTAAGGTCAGACTTGGAGACCAACTAGTTAATGTTGGATTTACGTACGAGAAACTCATCAACCTATGTCACTATTGTGGAAAATTGGGTCACTTGGACAGAGGATATCTCAAAAAAATGGAGGATATCAGAAACAACTCCCTTCAAGAGGGACAATATGGTGATTGGATGAGGGCAGCCGATGGCTTCAGAGGGAGTACTTTCAGTTTATCTGGTTCTAGATCATCCCCACCTCCAGAATCTCCTATTGCTACTGACAATGGCACTTCCCAAAGAGCCTCATCAAGCTATTGTGCTGATCAGAATCAAATTATTCCTAGCATAGGAAACACAGAATCTCCGGCTAAATCTATTGGGGCACCATCTGTGGTCTCAGCCAACCAAAGCAGAGATGAAGAAGAGGAACATGAAGTAGCCAATCTGCAGATTGTGGAATCCTCTATCATGGAAGTAGAAACAGGAGACACAGCTCTAGTCACAGATCTTTCTTCACCGGAAAAATCCTTTCAAATCTCTAAATCCCAGCCTCTCAAATCTTGGAGAAGATCAGGCACAAGGATGGGCAGGCTTCTCAGAACCAATGAAGCTCCTATTGTTATTGACCAGTTTTTTAATGGAAAGAGAGACAGACAAGTCTTGGAGCCAGCAGACCAATCAGAGGACTCCAACACTCATAAGCAGGTTCAATCTAAAAAGCAAAAAGCTCATCCGGAAATGGTGGGGGTTGCCAGCCTTGAATGGCACCACCAGGATAAATGTTAGCTCTGGTGTGGAATTGTAGAGGGCTGGGTGGGCCCTCTACAATTTCCTAAATCAGAGAGCTCAAGAAAGCTCACCATCCAAATTTTATCTTCCTCTCAGAAACTAAAAAACAATCTGCTTTTGTTAATTCGGTTTGTAAAAAGTTAGGTTTTGATAATAGGGTTGCTATAGTTGACCCAATAGGCCTATGTGGAGGACTTGTTTTGATGTGGGATATTCACATAGTTATTAGCCAAATTATCTGTGAAAACTATTTTATTGCTGTTGAATTCCAGCTGCATCCCCACCCCCTTCAATGGGGAATTTTTGTCCATCTTAGTCCCTGCAAAGTTATCAGAGAGACTCAGAGGGAAGAATTGTTGGCAGCTAAACAAAAATGGGGATCTCTTTGGTTCTCCATTGGAGACTGGAATGACATTCTCTCAAACTCAGAGAAATCAGGTGGAACCAACAAACCAACCCTTAGCCTTTTGGGTTTTAACTCTTTTGTATCTGAAATGGACATGCTGGAAGTTCAATCAAATGGCTATGCTTTTACTTGGAGTAACAACAGAGCTCCTCCAGCTCTGGTTGAAGAAAAGCTGGACAGAGCCTTTGGTTCTCTTGACTGGTCTCACTCTTACCCCAATGCAGCTGTATCCAATACTCCCAGAAGTTCTTCTGACCATACTGCTCTTCTCTTGAACTTGGGACTTCCTCAAATGAAAAGAAAGGCCCCCTTTCACTTTGACAAAAGATGGTTAAGCATGGATGGCTTTAATGATATAGTTACTGCTGCTTGGAAGTCCCCAGTCACTGGTACCCCTTTTTTTCAACTTAAGGAGAGGGTCAAGAATACCAGGATTGCTATCCTCATCTGGAGTTCTTCTTTTCAATCCACAAGGCAGAAAGAAATATCTGAACTTACTCAGAGAATGGAAGATCTCAATACTTATGACAAGGGAACAAACTGGGAAATCTGGGAAGAGACAAAAAGAAAGCTAAACAAGGCACACTCTCTGGAGGAACTCCACTGACAGCAAAAAGCTAAGTACAGATGGTTAAAAGAAAGGGATGCCAACACCAAATTCTTTCATGCCTATACTCTCCAGAGAAGAAAACTCAATGCAATAACCAGGCTCATTTCAAACCAAGGCAGAGTCCACTCCTCTCAAGCTGAGATTGAATCCCATATCTCTGAATTCTACACTAATCTCTTCTCTACTGAGGGCAGTTGGGGTGGGGAATCCATTCTCCACCTAATTCTAGAGACCATAACTCAAGACATGAACACTGCCCTCCTCAAACCTGTTGATGAAGATGAAGTCAAACAATCTTTGTTCTGTTTTCAGCCTGATAAATCACCTGGTGAAGATGGAATGACAGCTGCCTTTTATCAACATTTCTAGAGCTTAATCAAATCTTATCTTATGAAGGTAGTCCACAGTTTCTTCCAATCAGGTACTATCCTCAAATATTGGAATCACACTGTCTTATCCCTTATTCCCAAATGTCACCACCCAGATAATTTGAGTCAATTCAGACCAATAAGCCTTTGTAGTGTAGTCTACAAGCTTATATCCAAAATCTTAGCTCAGAGACTCAAGGCCTACTTGCCACATTGCATCAGTGAGCATCAGGCTGCTTTTCTTGAGGGTAGACATATTACTGACAATGTGATAATTGCCCAAGAAGCTTTCCACTTCCTGAACATGCACTCCTCTGGTCCTAATTCTTTCATGGCCCTCAAGTTGGATCTTATTAAAGCTTTTGACCGAGTTGAATGGCTCTGCTTAAAGAAAATTATGCTTCAAATGGGATTCCATAGTGATTTTGTGAAGCTTGTTATGATTTGTGTTACTTCTGCCTCCTTTTCGTTCAAGATTAATGGAAGCATCAGTGGTTATGTTTTACCTTCTAGGGGAATTAGGCAGGGGGATCCTCTATCCCCCTACCTTTTTCTTATTGTCACTGAATTGCTTACTGCTCTCATTCACAACTCAATCTCCTCTGGCATGCTTAAAGGAATGAAACTTTCCAGAAATGGGCCTGTGTTGTCTCATATTCTCTTTGCAGATGACTCTCTGTTTTTCCTTAAAGATGGGGTTGACCAAGCTGGGTTTCTCATGAACATTCTGGAGCAGTACAAACTCTTCTCTAGTCAAGCTATTAATCTCCAAAAATCTGCTGTATTTTTCAGTAGAAATACACCCCTCCACCTTCAAAGATCAATCTGCAGCTCTCTGAACAATATTACTTCTCACAGGTCAACTAAATACTTGGGATTGCCACTGGGGATTGGCAGATCCAAAAAGGAAGTTTTTGCTTACTTAGTGAATTCAGTCAGAGCTAAGCTCACATCTTGGAAATCTCAGCTTCTTAGCCCTGCTGGAAAGGAAGTCCTTCTCAAAGCTATTATCCAAGCTCTTCCAGTCTACACAATGGCTTGTTTCACTCTGCCAGTGTCAATCTGCTCTGAAATTACAAGCTTATGTGCAAAATTTTGGTGAAAATCTGGAACTGATCAGGCTAAAGGAATCCATTGGAGAAATTGGAATTTCCTCTCCCTCCCTAAAGAGAATGGTGGTCTATCCTTCCTTGACCTCCAGCTTTTCAATAAAGCAATGATCTGTAAACAGCTGTGGAGGATTGCCTCAAATCCAGAGCTTCTAGTAACCAAAATCCTCAAGGACAGGTACTACCCTAACTCTTCTCTGGTTAATGCCTCTAGAAATCCCAGTGGATCATGGATGTGGAACTGCTGGATGCACAATATACCTTTCTTTGCTAAATGGTTAAAAATTGAAATCAGAAATGGCAAGAACACCAGAATATCTGATCTGAACTGGATTCCTAATCATAGTAGACCCAGCCCCTCTCTCATTCCTATTGCTAGAGATCACTTGATCTGGGTTAAAGACTTACTGAATGATGAAGGCACTCAATGGAATAACTGGTTGGTGAGGCAAGTTTTTGATGAAGTTGATAGCAATGCAATCCTGAACATATCCTCTCTATCCCAGAGCAGAAATGATAGATTATATTGGGATTTGAATACAAAGGGTTGCTTTTCTGTTTCCCAAACTTACTCACACCTCATGTCTCTCAAGATCCAGAATTTGGACATCCCAGAATGCAGCTCTTCTGCTATCACCAAAAAATCCATCTCATTCAGACATTGGAAGTTAAAGATTGCAGGCAAGGTCAAGCACTTTATTTGGAAATGCATCTCTGGATCCCTGCCTGTAGCTACTAATCTGAACAGGAGAGGCATTGACTTGGACACCACTTGTTCCATCTGTGGTGAAGCTGCTGAATCCTTGGAACACTTGTTTTTCACTTGTAGCAGATCCATCAATTGCTGGAAGCTTAGTCCTCTCCAATGGGATGGCCTGTTATGCTGCACTGACTCCTTTAAGACATGGTGGTATCACATTTGCTCACTGGATAAATCTGAAGTTGCTGAAGCTCGAATCCAACTCACCACTTACATGCTTTGGTGGCTTTGGAAATCCAGGAACTTGTGGCTTTTTCAAAAAACTCTCATCCCAGAGCCCATCCTAATTAAATTGGCCCTCACTGATTGGATGGAGTTCTCTGCAGCTGCTTCTTCTTTGGCAGTTTAGTTATTTTCCTTGTTTGTCATTTTGGTTTGTTTTCTTTCCCTTTTGTTTTTCCTTGCTAGGCTCTTGGAGCAGTGGCAGGTGTTTGGTTTTAGTGATGATTGTTGTTGTTGGTTTGGCTTTGTAGTTTTCTTTCTTTGTGTTGAGGTTCTAGACCGCTTATG